CTGAGCCAGGTCCTGTTGACAAGCCCCTGAGGCAGCCCCCTCCTTCCCCATGGGTGGCAGACAGCAGGGTTCTGGATCACTGTTATTGTTCGCTCTCCACCTCCTGGTTCTGCCCTGCACAGGAAAATGAAATGTAGCCTCCTTAGGGCTGTGGGAATCCAGAGGGTTTTTAACCGGCTGCTTTCCCAAAGTAGGTCACCAGGCCTTTCTTCCTAGTTCATCTAACTCTAGAAGCTCTATAGAAACCTATTCAAAATCACAGCACTCCCCAGTCTCCACTGACAGATGGGTGGTGGCTGTGTTCCTAGCTACACTGACCCGGAATCACACACCCAGTCTCTCACATAAATGGCGAAAATGCCCCTGCACTAAGAGTCTCTCCAGGTAGTTGGTGAGAAAACCACAGCTCAGAGGTGTCAAGAGCACTTTGCAGATAAAGAACCAAGTTGGGCGTCAATCTCAAGCCTTCTGCTCTCAGTCTAAGTCCTCAGACTGAAGTAAAATGGACTCTCTTTGGATTGCAGCGGGAGTGTGTGTATAGTTTTTAAGAAGGGGGGGGCAAGGCTGGCTTGGTGGGGGGACCACGGAAGGCATGCCATTAGAATGGCTGCCTCTGAGGCTTCTTTCTAGGGCAATGAGGCAAGACCAGCAGAATCTCAGGGACGAAGTTCAACCAGGAGTTCAAGGGTAACTCCCTGCTGAGAGATGGCTTCCAGATGTGCAGGGAAAGAGGTCTAGCCTTTTCGCTCTGGTTTGAGTGGATAGTCAGAGCTCAGGATCCGTTTGAGTCCCTGGGTGGCTTATCAGTTAGGAATGACCCTCGGGGAGGTGTTAGTGGTCAGGGGAAGGGTCTCGTCAAAACCACCAGCCTCCCATGCTCACTCCATGCTGCTGCTGCTGCTGTCAGGTAGATGCGGACCCCAAGCAGCCCCCCTGCAGCAGGGTAGAACCACCCCATCCAGTCTTCTTGTCTTTTAAACATATTTAATTTGGGGTGAAAACGGACCCAGCCAACTTGTTCCCAGTCACTGGTTTCGAGATAAAACGGTCCGTGGTGTTGTTGACGACCTTTACCTCGTGTTGAGATTCTTAGTGTGTCCAATTATTTCTTTTGTGGACTTCAGCTTCCTGTTCCTCCATCCTTCTCATTTATGCTTTAAAATAGCTGTTGTTCATCTGGCTGTGACTGGTCTAACGTTGTGCAAAAGGATAGTACTCAAAGGTGATGATCTTTACTTTTTGAGGTAGACTGTGAGCTCGTTTAAAGGTGGTGAAATTACTTAATTAAAAGGTCCGGGATTCCCCAGCTTCCATTCGAGGTTTAAAGACTAGCTGAGGAAAATAGTCCTGGGACTTCTCCAGCCTGTTAGGTTCAGTACACCCAGATTCTTTAAGAATTTGCCGCTTTCTTCCACATTTTCCTTCCTTCTCATCATGACCCCTCTAGTGTGTCTGTGGTTCAGTCGTGGTATGGCCATAATCTTTATGGAAGACCACAGGTCCTTCTCCCCAGGGCTCCTCACCCCCAAACCAAACTCCCTGCCATGGCACCAATTCTGACTCACAGGGCAGGACAGCACAGCACCGCCCCCTTTGGGTTTCTCAAACTGTAACTGTTTACAGGAGTAGAAAGCCTCATCTTCCACCTGTGGAGTGGCTGGTGGTTTGAGGCACTGACTTTGTGGTTAGTGACTGGGGACTCCTGGGTGGTTTCAAATCACCAACCTTTCTGTTAGCTAACGATGGCTTAATGTCTGCACCACAGGGCCCATGATATCAGTTCGACAGCCCAGGGGAAACTGTGCAGCACACTGTGCTGACATTGAGGAACAAACTCTTCACCAGAGTTACAGCTCCTGCCCAGTTGATGGACAGGCTTAATATAATATTAATAATTCCTGTGGCCTGCAGGTGTCCTGGTGCAAAAACATTTTTCTAATCTCAAAGACTTCCAGGAGGCAAGGACTCAGACACGCGCGGATACCCTGGCTTTGGGTGTAGTAGATGAGCCTTGTGCTTCATTTGCTGCCAGGTTAAATGCTTTAGGAATTTTGTAGACCAACTGTGGGTTAAAAGTTGCAACCATTAAGATCTGACCCGATTCAAACACAAGTATGAGGATCCCCGGCCTTTGGATCAGAAAGGCACAATGTCACATCCAAGGAAGTGTTGAACTGGAAAGCACCATGGCTCCACAATCGGAAGTCCTGGGTTTGAGCCAAATTACTGATGCCTGACTAGCTATGGGGCTCTGGGTCACGAACATCACCCGGGACTTTCGGTGCACTCCAGACAAGGCGCCCTCTACTGGCTGGCTTGATGTCAACATCAAATGAACTCCTGTGAGAAAATACTTGATCTCAGATTCAGAGCACAGTACACAGCTGTAACTCATTTTAAAAACATACCCTTTTCCCTATTAGCACAGATCTCTGCACATACTTTTATTGCAGTGATTTTTTTTCTCATTTCTTTATAGAATGTGCACGTTTGTTTGTCCTGCTGCAGGATGAGTTCTTTGAGGAAGGAGACCATCATAGTCATTTGTACCTCCACGCCTACTTCCTCCTGGGTATTCGGTGTTGGCTGAATGATCTTAATCTATACGTCTACCAAAAAGTGTAAGAAAAACGGTAGGAATACACGAATACACACACATTTATATTTATATATTATATTGTTATGTGTAATATTGTAATATAATATATATGGAATGAAGGGAGCCTTCATGGCGCAGGGGTAACTGGGGCACTAACTGTGAGATTAGCAGTTCAAAACCAACAGTAGCTCTTCCAGAGAAAGATGAGGCTTCTACCCCACAGAGCGTTACAGTCTTGGAAACTGGCAGGGGCAGTTGGATTCCAACTATGAGTTGGAATCAACTCAATGGAAATGAGTCAGTATGTGTATAATATACATATTAAAGCTCTCACTCTGGATCTTTCAAATTTCCTTTTCCAAGATTGGCATAACTAATTCAGTGTCAGACTTTGTAGACAGAGCCAGATAGAGAGGGTGAGTTAGTTAACTGTGCCAACCTGGCCGATAATCACATGTGGGGCTAATTGAAAGGCAGAGGGATAAATGGGTGGTGAGCCTCTCCTTTCTAGTTCTCGGGTCTCTTGTTTTGTGATGGTTGCACCGGGTGCAGCTGCCTTAGCAGTTCCCTGCTTCAGCTTGCAAGATTGACTTCCTACAAGACATCCCCAAGGAGAAGCTACATGGACCTAGACCGATGCAGCCCTGGGTGCTGGAGCAGCCGTGTGGAGACCCCTCCTAGTGCTGAGATGCTTGTTCATTCACTGACTCAGCTTTCCTCCTGCAGTCGGCATCATTGCCTCTGTTTTGTGAGGTGGAGGACTTTGTGAACTGGTGTTGGGTTAATGGGTTAATGTTGGACTTGTGGGCTTGGGCAGCATTGGGTTGGGATGTTTTCGTGATGCACATTTTTTTTTACATAAAACTCTCTCTTATCCATGAGTTGCTGTGGATTTGTTTCTCCAAAGTACCCAGACTAATACAGAGGGTTTCTGGTTCTGTCCATGACAGGTCAAACCAGCAGCCTCTAACGTGAAGGCAAAACACGGGTGCCCTTTGCTGGTTGAGTTGCTGTGGTCTTAACTCATGTGAGCTAACTCAGAACCAAACAGAGTCACATTTTTGCATGAATCCTTCATGATCTGAACCTTTGTGCTCCCACTCAGAGCTCAGGAACCAAAGTGAACCTAGCTATATCTACCTTTTGCTACCAAGCTTATTAGGTTCCTGAGCTTGGAAGACAAGGGACACCCTATTACATCAATGCATCTCTAACATTCCCTTTAAATGTGTGCATGTATACATACACGTGAATATATATAATAGGTATATATACATGGCGATCAACACAGCACTTGTACCTGCACATACACATATGCAGAGACCAACATTTTTCTTGGCAGCACCTATCATTCATTGGTATCCGAGATACAGAACATCATCTAATACAAAACAAGTGCAGTTTTCCTTGTCTGACTGTCCAGTTAGGCTTGATTCTGCCCTACAAAAGCACTGGAAGCCATACATTGGTGGGCAGCATGGGAAGCTGCTCATTCGGGCAGCCATAGAAAGAAAGAAGATATTTGACAGATACTTGTCAAGCATCAGTGGATTTGATGCTTCTTAAATGAAACTCCCCGCTTTGAGGACAGGCAAGAACAGCATGGGGCCACGTGTCAGAAGTTATCAGGCATAATGTTGGTACAGGCAGTCCCTAGGTTATAATCCTTGCTGTGTCTTTGTGACTTGGGAGGGAACTCAGAATAGTGCATACAGTTCTTATTTAGCATTGCTTGGAAGAAAGAGGAGCTGTGGTAGCACTATGGGATATGCATTGGGCTGCTAACCACAAAGCCGGTGGTTCAGACTTGCCAGCTGCTCTGTAGGAGAAAATTGAGATTGTCTGCTCCCCTAAAGATATACAGTCTTGGAAACCCCGCGTCAGATCCCTGGCACCCTATCTTCTCATACGTAGTGGGTCTGGGTATGCACATGCAGCAAGTGGAGGTGCCAGTGATGAAGAATTGTCTGTAAGTAGAGATTGGCTCAAAAAAGCCCTGGTGGCTCTCACTGCTGGGTAAGTGTTGGACTGCTAGCTACAAAGTTATCGGTTTAAACCCCACAGCTGCTCTGTGGGAACTCTATCCAGGGGTTGCTATGACTCAGGATTGACTCAATGGCAGTGGGTGGGTGGGGGCTGGTTAGATCATTTCAAAGCAAGGACAAGTAATATGGAAGGGCAAGTGAGAGTTGCCCACAAAGTCCAAGGCTCATAATGCCGAGACTGCCTGTCCTGTCAACATATGAAAAATATATACGGCATCAAGGCTGGCACTTTCAGGAAGTGTTGAGAGACCCTTCAGGCACAATTAAGGCAATCACCCTCAAGTGCCAAGCTGTGCATGCCGAAGGGAAGCTGACTTTTTAAAAATGATCACTGTGAGATGGGAACACATCCTTACCTATGAACCAGAGTGTTCTTGAGGCCCCCTACCAGGCCTCGGGCGATGGTCTTCACTCTGGGGGTGAGGATTGCTTGAGAGACGTGGAAGGTGCTGCCCGGGGCCCGTTCACTGAGCGTCGTCTCCAAGAAGAGAATGAGTTTGCGCACACTTGTGGTGTTTGCCCAGGGTGCTGGGATTTTCTTTCCTGGCCACAGGAAGGGGTACTGCTTGTAGAAGGGGCAGTGGTAGAAAATAAGAACCTGAAACAAGCAAAACAAGGTGGAGAGCAATTCACGAGGAAGAAGAATCACTATTGGGCAGGAGACTGACTGATGGCGGGGAGGCGGGGCAAACAAACGCAAACCGAGAGAGAGACATGGAAAAGGTCCGTTCAGAAAGCTTCACTGAGCACCCGCGTGTCTCGCTTGAGGATTATTATTATTTTGCCACGGATACCATTGGACAGACGATGGAAACAGACTCCTTAGAAGAAGGCTTTGAAACAAATGCACACTGTTGGGTGCCCGGGAAACCAATTCTATTGAAATACAGTCATTGATAGGTTAGGTAAACTTGGCATAAATAGGTAGAATGGATTAAATAGCAGGCTATTACCGTGGGCCTGATAAAAACAATGCCAAGGACAACAAACTCAACCGGCTGCTGTCAAGGAGACGCCCACTGGAGGTGACCCTGTGGGTCAGAGAGCTGCGCTCCAGGGGCTTCTCAGTGGCTGGTTCGGGGAGGAGATTGCCAGACCTTTCTTCCAAGGTGCCCCTGAATGGACTTGAACCTACAACTTGGCAGTGAGCCGCCAAGAGGATCACTGCTTGGACCACCTAGGGATAGCTGCGATTCTAATAAACTCCAGATTCTTGACTTAAGGATATTCCAAAGTATCTGCCACACCTAAAATGTGCTATTAAAACAGCTTTGATTTCCATCATGACGAAGTCACAATTGAGAGGTCAAGATGAACAGATAGACTAATGTTCAATTAGAGGCTAATGTAAATCAATGCATACTTTCCCCCTCATCTAGGTTCACAGACTTCTTAAATTCTATCCATATATCGCCCCCTTGGGAATCTGAAGACCCCAAGCTGAGAACCCCGGAAACCAGTCTTTCTAGAACAGCGGTTCTCAACCTTTGTAAAGCCGCAACCCTTTAATACAGTTCCTCATGTCGTGGTGACCGTAACATTATTTTCATTGCTACTTCATAACTGTCATGTTGCTACTGTTATGAATCAGGCAACCCCTGGGAAAGGGTCATTTGACCCCCAAAGGGGTCATGACCCACAGGTTGAGAACCGCTGGTCTAGAAGCTATGATTCTAGCACTTGCAAAATGTATGCTTAGCACTTGGAGTTGAGAAGCCTGCACTGAAATCCTTTGGGAATAGATCTGCAATTGCCTGCTGCTGACGCTGAACATGCTCGCCATTCTCAGGAAAGGAAAAGAGTACTCCTGGAGTCGGGGAAGCTCTGCACAGCCGCCAGGGGCCTCCAGTGGGACAGCTCTCTGGGCGGGGAGGACTTCCGCAGAAGGAGCAAACCACATCCGCAGAATTCATTCGTTTCTGGGTGGCAGCTGAGGGACTGGGAATTGCTATCTTGATTGTCCCAATTCAGAGCTCTGCTGTGCAGGTGTCTAGAAGTAATATACAGTGAGCCCTCGCCACTTCGCGCTTCGTCTTCCGCGGCTTCACTCTATCGTGGTTTTTGCGTAACAGCGCGTGCTCTGTCGTTACTGCCACTGATTGGCTCATACTGTACACGCTTCTGTCTGCATCGCTACGTATCGGAGCTACGTATCAGATGCATTTTTGCTTTTGTACAGTGTACTGTAATTGTTTGCGATTTTTAAGAAATTTTATCTAAGCCCTATGATGGCTCCTAAACGAGCTGCTTCTTCTAAGCCGTCTGACAATAAAAATAAGTGCCAGAGGAAGATGCTCACCATCCAGGAAAAGGTAAAACTTTTGGATATGATCAAAGATGGCAAGAAAATCGTGGAGGTTGCACGCCATTTCGACTTGAATGAGTCGTCCGTTCGCTCCATCCGTTGTACTTTATAATATAATAAATAATAAATGATAATTGTAACGTCCAGAATGTTTTACTGCATTTTCCCTTTTTCGTTTAATAAATTGGGTAATACGAGTGTAATGGTGACTAAAGGGTGTTTTGGGTAATACGAGTGTAATGGTGACTAAAGGGTGTTTTTTCATGTCCTCTATGCTCTAACTACGAAAATATTTGATTTACAAATACGGAATCCTACTTCGCAGAATTTCATTTATCATGGTAGGGTCTAGAACCGATTAACCGTGATAAACGAGGGTTCACTGTACTCCCATACTTACATGGAGATGTGTGTGTTGTTTTTTCACTTTACAGGCATCGTGAGCTCTGCATGCTGATGTCCTTAGACGGGAGCCTGAGCTAGCTCGTCTGCCCCGCAGCGGGATCCTGCAGGACCCAAGCACAGGGCTCTGCCTGCCTGGTTGCTTCCAGCCCGAGTCTTGCTCTGACTCAGGTGCATGACTGGCCGTTCCTGAGAGGCTCTATAGAGCAGGACGTGCCAGGCACGGTGCACCGGAGAGGGTGATAGCTGTTTGGATGGTTTTGTGTAATATCTAGCTGCCTGCTACTGATGTCTGTAACCGTGTGTGCTAAGGAGGTTAATCGCTGCTGCCTTGGGATAAGCAGATTGCGTGGGAGATTGGGGAGGATTTCCTCTTGGTGCTGGCTGGTTTGGAAGGCCTCGGCCTCTTTGAAATTCTTCCTTGGAGGAGGCAGGAGGCTGGCACTGTGAGCCTCTGGGGCTGGGCTGCCTGACCATTTTCTTGTCTGGCTGGTCAGGGGATGAGGGTCAGGGGCCAAGAGGCCAGGGCTGTTAGTGACACTGCCCTGGAGAAGGTGCTTTAAGTACAGAGCACACAAAAGGGGCTTTGTGACTTTCCTCAAGAGCCTGGGTTTCTGTGTGCGCTGGGAAGACGGACTGGTAAGCCAGAGCGTGGTCTGTGGGATTCTAGAGACAATGACTCCTGTCTCAGGACTCCTGTCCTGGCTTGTGCTTTGCTTGGCTCCCCCAACTCTCTCTCTCCCTGCTGTACTTTTCTCTGAAATCCTCCCCGTCCAACTTAGCAGTTCATATTCATTTTTTCCCCCTCTGGAGACTCAAATATCCTTTACGGGATATTTCTGGATGGACCTCCTCTTATTCTGGCCACTCCTCTGCTGGGGGTGGGGTGGGAGCTCCAGGGTACTGACTGGTACTGCGTACTGTCTGACAGCCCCTCCCCCTGCCCCATTTATTTCTTACTCCGTACTTTTCTTTATATAGCACAGAATGTTTGAGGCAGTTTTATCTTGCAATCGCATAGCTGTTGTGCTTTATTTGAATATCTTACTAGTGTCCTGAATATTTGAATATCTTAGTAGTGTCCTGTGTTCTTATTCTTCTCATCATACTCTAAATACTGCCAAGATGGAGGTTCCAACTTCTAATTCCTTGAACCCTCAAACCCCATAGCCAACGGTACCTAATGTATCAATAGACATAATAATAACACCTATATGACTGTGAGCGATAGCATCATTTCATGCTGGATAAATAGTTGGCTAATGGTGGTATACTTCTTGTGATTATAGTAACGGGATACTTAGGGGGTTACACGTAAGGCAGCCCATTACAGAATGAATATGTAAAGGTTAACCACCACCTGGCTCTGTCCCAGAAAAGTGGTGTGTGTGTGTGTGTGTGTGTGACTGCTGACCTGTTTGCAAGCTCTTTGTTTCGCATCTACGGAGAGATGTGGCACCGAAGCCATGGAAAACGGGGAGAAGTATGGGATCCTAGGGTTCAGATGGACCCTCTTTCAGATATGGGACTCTGTCTCTGTCCTTCTTCATTTCGATGTCTGACACAGTCCACTTCACCCATTCTTTAAACTCTCCACTCACCACCAGGCAACAACCTTACTTTCCACAAAATAAGAAAGACCTAACAGATTACTACTTCCTTGCCAAGGCAGCGGCATGGCTTCTTTCCGGAGTGAACTAGGTATCCCACAGCTCATATAGGTAAGACCCTACTGGGCCCAGCTTTGACAGATGATAAGTCATCACTCTGTCTGCGAGAAACTTACTTATCCACACTCTGCATCATCCCCAAGGTTGCCTGTTGGTCGTTGTTAGAGGCTATCAAGTTGGTTCCTGATAGACGGTGACCTGAGATGGGCCGCTAACTGTAAGGTCAGAAGTCGTAACCGTCAGCCAACTCCTAGGAAAGTGAGTCTCTCAAACTCAAACCCTGTCCTATAGGGCTGTTCTGAGTCAGAATTGACCCCATGGCCGTGAGCAGTGAAGCACAAAGGGATTTCCCTGGCTTATTTTGCAGCAGTGGAGTGCCAGGCCTTCCTTCTACTCGGTCTTAGTCTGGAAGCTCTACTGTAACCTGTGTTCAGCAATACGGATCGCAAGCCTTCAGTGGCAGATGTGTGGAAGCTGTTCATGACCTGCACTGGCCTGGGGGAGAAGCCCAAATCTCTTGTAAGGAAAACAGGCACTGTAGGTGGTATAGATGGTGTTTATGTGCTGGGCTGCTAACTGCAAGGTCAGCAGTTCAAAACCACCAGGGGTTTCAGGAGAGAAAGATGAAACTTTCTCCTCCTATAAAGAGTTACAATCTCAGAAATGCACAGAGGTTTTTCTATACTGTGCTGTAGGGTCGCTGTGAGCTATAATGGACTGTCAGTGAGTGAGTTCCTGTATAGGATCTGTGATTTCTACCAAGATATTATTACTGCCCTCATTTAGGGCACTACCTGAAAAAGCTAAAATAAAGACTAGCCATATCCAGCCAAAGAAGTGCATCTTACAGAAGAGTTTGTGCTATATTCTGAAAATGTCCAGTTGTTTATCTCTCTGTGCCCCAGTTCCCTCATCAGTAAGATGGAGATAATAACACAATGCCTACCTCACACTGTTGCTAAGTAAGGTAATCAATGCAGCAAGAGCACTGTACGGGTTCAATAAATATTCCTTGTTTCTTTTGCTCTGGTTCAATGTCATCAGGTCGGAGGAGGGCATTGGTTCCTCAGTGATAATGAGGGAGAGCCAGGTTGGATTCCTGGCCAGGGCACATGGGTGCAGCCACCATTCATTGGGTAGAAGAAGCGGGTGTGTTGCTGCGAAGCTGAAGAGGTTTCAGCGGAGCTCTCAGACTGAGACAGACGAGGGGAAAAAGCCTGGTGATTTACTTCCAAAAATGAGCCAATAGGAACCCCGTGGATCACAGTGGGCCACTCCACCGCCAATCACGGGGATGGTGTAGTGCTGGCAGGGCTTCCTGCCACTGTGTGTGGGTCTCGGTGCACCAGGGGCCCACTTGGCAGCAGCTAGCAACACTGCCATTGTCAGAAAGTAACTCCCCTTGGGGGAAAATACAAACGAAACTCTCTCTCCAAATTAGACCCAGGAATCTGAACAGATAAAAACTGGTTTTAGGGAAGAGATGTGATAAGTATTCAGCCAAATTGCACAACGTTTTAATAAGGGTGAAAAATGGCTCAGATGCATTTTATTTGATTGATTGATTTTTTGGGGGGCTCAGATGCATTTTAACAGAGAGTAAACGTGAACTCGTTAAGCCTCGGTGGAGGGCAGGGCATTTAGCACTTTGATGGGTGAGCGGAACCACCTGGTGATCCCAGCTCTCAGGCCAAATCTGGGAGTCAAACGTGACTCCTCCCTTCCTTTCGCATGCACGATCTAGCCATGAGGAAACCCTGTGGCCGGTAATGTCAGAATCTGAAGACTCCTTGCTATGGTCCCTGTCCTAGGTCCTTAGTGCTGCTGGAGCAGAAGTTTACATACGCAGAGCTGAGGGGGGCGGAAGTCCCAAGTCAGGGCACCTGCTACAGGAGAAGGCTCGCTGTCCTCAGCTCCCTGGAAGACCCTGGACTCCGCTCCCGTAGGCTGCATCGCTAGCTCCCTTGGTGGCTGGTCTGCAGGAGGGCACCCAGGGTCCTCTCCGTTGGGCTCCCTCAGGGTCTCATCTGCTCCTTTTATAACCCATAAGTGATGGGGCACAGGACACATGCTCCACTGCGATGGCCTCTTTAGTCAACGCAGGAAACCTCATTCCCAAACGGGATCACATCCAAGGGTTGAGCTTCCAACATACAGGAGGGAGCTTCACGCAGTTTGTGGGAAAGTGGAATGAAAAGGATGGGATCTGACCACGGGCTTTTTGAAGCCCCTACATACACATATTGGGGGGGGGGGCACATTCAATTTGCAATAGTTTCTCCATTCATTTCCCTATTCTGCCGACTCCCCCTCACCTCCGGTTTTCGACTAGGACAGCAGTCAAAGGGTCCCATTACAACGTAAGTCAGGTCAGGTCACCCTGTGTTCAGAAGCCTTGCAGGGAGGCCCCTGCTACTCAAGGTAAGAGCTAAAGCCCTTGCAGTGCAACATGGCCCATGTGACCTGGTCACCCAGAGTTGCCTGCAAGAGGACCTGGTGGTCTACAAAACAAAACAGAAAAAACAAACAAACAGAACACAACAGAACCATTGCAACAACAAAAACAGCCGTCGGAAACCTGCTGGAGCACAGTTCTACTCTGACCCACATCAGGGCAGCTTAAATCAAAATCTATATGGTGATGGATGGTGTCATCTTTAAGACCCTCCCTCAATGAGTCGTTTATGCATTTCTCCCATGACCATCCAGGGCTCCTGCTGAACTTAAAGCCAGTGACAGAGAAAAAGGCGAAAGGGCTCAGTTGGTGCCCTTTCGAAGCTCCTCCGCCTCCCTCCTACCTGGCACTTCTTCTCCCACAGGGTCCCCAGCATTATGCTCTCCACACTGCAGACGGGGCACAGCTTGCTTCCAAAGGCCTCTTGGATCCTGAGGACCAGGCATCTGTGATGGGCCTCATCCATGGCGTAGAAGTGGTTGAAATCCAGGAAGATAATCTCCTGGGGGTGCTGGGTCAGAAACGAGTCCATCTCCATCAGCCCATCCCAGACCTTGATGCCAAACAGCCCGTGGATGAAATAGATCTCCTGGTCAGTGTCCCCCGGCTTGGAGGACACCCGCAGGTCGAAGTAGCGGATCCCAGCGTCCAGCTGCTCTCGAAACGTCAGGTTCTGGGTCACAGACCACTTCTTCATCAGCTTCTTCACCAGGGAGATCCTGGCGAGCCGCTTGATAGCTGGGGTTTGGTCGGGTCCCACGGGGGACTTCTCATCCACCCAGTAGCTGAACGAGTCGTGGGAGCCTACGCAAAGCAAACGGGGGAGAAAAAGAGCTGAGCAAAACCAGTGGAGGATTGCTGAAAACACACAACGGACAGAGATCACAGCCTGTCCGTGCCTACCAGCGGCTACTTCCTCAAAACCGGACCGCCTATTCCTTCCTCCAAGCATCAGCACAGTTGTGAGGATGATGTCATGTCGGACCGGGCAGTGTTTCCTTCTGTTGGGTCACTATGAATCAGAACCGACTTAAAGGCACCCAATGACAATGAGGATCGGGGGTGGGGGAAGGGAGGGGGAGAGTAAGACACAACCCTCTGGGGAAGCTGAGAGTCTAGCGAAGAGTGTGGGCAAGACCGGGAGGGTGAGTCGTGAAGTACGAGGCTTCGTGAAGGTAGCCACTGAACCGTCCCTGTTGAAACGGCAACTATTTCCTTGGCTGTTGTACTCACCCTGGCTCCATCCACTGATGCAGACGCCTGGCAACGTACAGGGCAGGGCAGAACTGCCCCGGGGTTTCTGAGAGTGTGACTCTTTTCCCTTTGAAATCATTGGATTGGGAGCTCTTACAGCTCTGATCACAATGCATCCATCCATCCACTGGGTCAAGCACAGTTGTACATTTGTTGCCATCATCCTTTTCAAAACATTCTCTTCCTTCTTGGCATGTGACTCTTTATGGGAGTAGAAAGCCCCGTCTTTCCCCCAAGTTACGTATTTACCACAATTAAAAAATATATATGGAAAGGACCCGAACCCCAAACAACTGCCAGCTCAACGCTCAAAAAGAAAATGCTCACGCTTGCTAGAAATTGAAATAAAGGCAAACCAATGAGATGCAATCTAATTAGCCAGTTGTTAAGCCTGGAGTGATACTATAAGTCTTATACATTGCTGCTGCAAGGTAATAAACACCCTCTTGGAAATATAGCTAGAAATATGCTTGGAAAGAGGAGCTTTAAAATATTCATACCTTTGATGTAGTAATTTCATTTCAGGGAAGTTATTCTGAGGAAATAAAACCCAACATTTGGAAAAACAGAGGCGTTTGCTGAAGAATATCCCTAATGCAGACAAACTGGAGGTTACCTAAGTGTTCCATGTAGAGGAACGTTTACGTATGGCACATCCTTGTCTCTGAATTCCTCATCTCTGAAACACAAAAACCAGGCTACAAAAACCAGGTGACTATCTTGAGGATGCTTGCTAAGTTCAGTGGGACAGGCAGGCAGACGTTAAACCCTGCCTCCTTGTTATGCAATTGTACAGTACCATTGGGAAAGTCTGAGTTAGCTGGAATGGTTATGTGACGGGTTAGATAAAGTCTTATGCAGGTTCGTATACGCAGGCCCTCTTTCCTGAACGAGGGAGCCCTCGTGGCCAGAGGTTGAGCTGTGTGCTGCTAACCATGAGGCTGCTGCTTGGAAGCCCTCCAACACAGAGACTGTGAGGGGAAGATATGCACATCTGCTCCCGGAAAGACTGATAGCGCTGGCTCTGTCCTATAGAGCCTGTGCTCCGTCCTGCAGAGATTCCATGAACCAGAACGGAGGTGACAACAGTGGGTTTGCCTTAGGGTTTCAGGACTCCTTCCTTCATAAGCCGGGGCTGCTGCTAAATGAACTGAACTGAAATGACGGCATCAAAGGTATGACTATTTGACAGCTCCCCTGTCCAAGCATATTTCTAGCTTTCAGGACTGGGAGAAGGGAGGGGGAGAAAGGCACCGTGCTCTGGAGAAGCTGAGCGTCTAGAGAAGGGGATAAGAAAGACCTGGAAGGGCTATGTATGAACATGATGTGCAAACAACCTCTTGAAGGTAGTTAAGGCCACTGAACTGTTCCTGTCGAAATGGCAAATATTTCCTTAGCTATGTATTTACTCAAACTCGCTCCATCAGGGCCATGCAGCCTCCTGGCAACGTATAGGGCAGGGCAGAACTGCCCAGAGTGTGACTCTTTATGGGAATTGAAAGCCCCGTCTTTCTCCCGAGCTATGGATTTACCACCATATATATAAAGGAGCCAAACACTCTGGGCACTTGGGATTCTGTTACTTGTTATAAAGAATGTGCAGCCACCATAAATCCATTCCTAACGAGGGTGAGAACAATGCTTCAATTATAACTATTTTAGAGCGAAATGTCTCTTTACAAATAGCTTTCATTTTAGTATTGTATCTCTCCAGTGTTAGCGTCACTGTGCTGGTTAGCCAATCCCTGAGGCAGTAGCTCTATAGCTGGCTCTGACACGCTCAGTCTCCACACAGGTGGCTGTACTTCCCGAGCGAAAAGTCAAAACTCACTACCATGGAGTCCATTTGGATGCCCCGTGACACTATGGACAGAGTAAACCTGTCAGTCCTCACTGGAGCAGGAAGCCTCACCTTTCTTCCAAGGAGCCACTTCTGGGCTCAAACTGCTCACCTGGCGGTGACCAGCCCAACCCATAACCCACTCTGCCACCAGAAGGAAAAGGCCCTGTTCTTAAGATGATTACTGATCGGACGACACACATGGCTACACTTGCATGAGTTGATTGCCATCCATTATCTACTTGCTAAATCTCAGAGTAGGCATTTCATGTATTATCTAGAATTTGAAAACAAGACTTCATTTTCTTCAAAATAAAATCATTCCGTGACAAGCTTTGTGTTTATTCTTTGCAGGAATATGGTGAAAAAAGGTTGACAAACGAGGCTTTACTTTTAGGTAGGATATTCAGTAACCATTTTAAAAAGCCCCCAAAACCAAAACCATATTTATTCATCCTCAGGCTAAGTGAATTTTGCAAATGAGAAAATGACTAACATATTTCAGGTACAGAGAAAACAGAAATGCCTTCCCTAATGCAAATGTGGATCAGGTCCCTCTGGGTTTTCTGCTAATGAGGCTCAATGGATGTCTCCCTGATGCTCTGTTCCTTCTGCTGAACAAAACCAGCAAGTTTCCATACCTGCTCACTGAGAGATTTATTATGAGGACATTGTGTATAGGTGCTGAGCAGCCCACCCTCAGTTCTTCTAAAGTTGCATTAACAGCCTGGCTGCTCAGTATCGACAACTGTGTTATATACTGAGAGGCATATCCTGAACTTAGTGTTTCCCTGGCCACCAGGGAATAGCCATTAGCCAAGCACCGAGGAGAAAGACTCCCCTGGGGTACCCTCTCGTTGGTGCGGAGCCAGTTTCATCTCCAGAGAAAGATGAGCTAACTGCCCACACCTCCGGCATGTCTGAGGGCTGTGCAGGAAGGTGACAGTGATGGGCCACCAGGGACTCACAGAAGAGGGAGAACACACATCTTCCCCGAGACACAAATCTCTCATTACCTCTGCTTTCTCCTCCACGTCCCTGGCTCTGCCCCATCCTTTCTGACATGCTGGCACTGCCTGAGCCCTTACAAGGCGAGCCTGAAGAATGACTGCCATATGAGGACCCATTAGTGCAGGTGATCCTCCCCACAGCTGCAGCAGTCAAATGCAATCATCCCTCACTACTCACTGTCAATATTTTGACTTTCTACCTATTTTTTCCCTACAGATTTTCTGCATCTAGATGAACAGAAATAACATTCAAATACCCCAGGGCATTTAATTCTCTCTTTTTGGAAAAAGGGCTGACCCACCCGTCCTCTGTATCCATGTTGGGCGGCCATCTGGAAGGTCGGCAGTTTGAAACCACCAGCCGTTCTTTGGAAGAAAGACGGGCTTTCTGCTCCCTTACAGAGCGAGAGTCGCAGAAGCCCACAGGGGCACTTCTAGGCTGTCCTATAAGGGGGTCACTATGCGCAGACCTGGACTCAATGGCAGTGAGGGCTGTGTGTGCGTGTACAGATATTTACAAGTGTTTATAATATATAAGTAATACTAATAATAAGTTTATCAGGTAAACACACCCATGAGAGGGTTTCAAAAAGTTCATGGGAAAATGGAATTGAAGGATAAAAACCTTTTTCCTCAACCTTTTGGTATAAGCAATATATTTAAAAGCAAGAACATCAACAACAAGAGCCCTCACGTAGAGGCTAGAGGGTGTCCTTCACAGGCTCATGCCCTTCTGGAGGCTTAGACGGTGCGACCTTATTTGGAAAGGTTTTTTTTAAAAAATTAATCATTTTATTGGGGGCTTGTTCAACTCTTATCACAATCCATACATATATCCATTGTGTCAAGCACATTTGTACATTTGTTGCCCTCATCGTTCTCAAAACATGTGCTTTCTACTTGAGCTCTTGGTATCTGCTCCTCATTTTTCCCCTCCTTCCCTGCTCCCCCCACCCCCATGAACCTTTGATAATTTGTAAAATATTATTATTTTGTCATATCTTACAGTCTGCCATCTCCCTTCACCCCCTTTTCTGTTGTCCATCTCCCAGGGAGGAGGTTATATGTAGATCCTTGTAATCGGTTCCCCCTTTCTACCTCACCCTCCCTCCACCCTCCCGGTATCCCCACTCGCAACACTGATCCTGAAGGTATCATCTGTCCTGGATTCCCTGTGTTTACAGTTCCTATCCATACCAGTGTACATCCTCTGGTCTAGCTGAATTTGTAAAGTAGAATTGGGATCATGATAGTGGGAGGGAGGAAGCATTTAAGAGCTAGAGGAGAGTTGTATGATTCATCGGTGCTATACTGCACCCTGACTGATTCGTTTCCTCCCCGCGACCCTTCTGTATGGGGGTGTCTATTTGCCCACAGATGGGCTTTAGGTCTCCACTATGCACTCCCCCTCATTTACAATGATAAGATTTTTTGTTCTTTGATGCCTGATACCCGATCCTTTCAGCGCCTCGTGGTCACACAGGCTGGTGTGCTTCTTCCATATGGGCTTTGTTGCTTCTGAGCTAGATGGCCGCTTGTTTACCTTCAAGCCTTTAAGACTCCAGCTGCTATATCTTTTGATAGCTGGGCACCATCAGCTTTCTTCACCACATTTGCTTATGCACCCACTTTGTCTTCAGTGATTGTGTCAGAAAGGTGAGCATCATGGAATACCAGTTTAATAAAACAAAAGTGTTCTT